CGTACTGAATCGCACCACAGGCTTTGCCACCCATGGAAATTTCATTTCCCTTCAATCTTCTTACATACCCCTTGTGCTCATTATCGTGGATGGTGTTAATCATAAATTCTTTTAAGTCGGAATTACGAGACATTTTAGCCTCAAGGCATTGTAAACGCCGACGTGCCAGGGAATCAGGTACCTCTTCTTCATCGTGCTTCCACAGAAGTCCAGTTTCCCATCGTTTCTCCAGAGGAAGGTATTTTGTTGTAGCCGACATTATGCGCTGCGAGCGATCGTCTTCCTTTGAAACCAGTGGTGCAGTTTCTCGAATACCAGCAGACTCTAATGAATAGTGGAATTTTACCAGTGCTTCCAAGCGCTTATCACCATTACAAGTGCAAAGGTGCAAAAAGGGACACTCAAACAGACGCGGTATTGGAAGTGCGGTACAAGGCGGTACATAGTATAGTTATGTACCGCCTTGTACCTCACTTCCAATACCGCGTCTGTTTGAGTGTCCCTTTACTTGTTGGTGTGAACCTTTATACATACACAGACCAAACAATTTTACATCGGGCTGCAACGCGTTAAATTGTCCAAGCTAATAAGAATCCGTGCTCGTTCCGCAGTATATGGAGCAATTGGTAGATCTTTTAGATGTCCTCGAGCAGATATGGTAGCTAAGTCTAATGATGGTACAGGAAGCTTAAGTGCAGTTATGGTATGCACATTTTTCATATACAATTTCCTTGCGTTAGGTAGCTGTGCGGAAATGTACAGGGCAACAGATTGAGAATTCGTTTCATTTTGTTTAATATCATCTGTCCATTGTAAACACAGTTCCTCCCTTGGACCGGCAATACCTAGCTCTTTTGCTAAGTCTTGCTGCATAAGTGTACAAGCTGAACCTTCATCAATAAAAGCCCATGTGTTGACAGACTTACCATATGCATGAAGCGTTACACCTGCGGCGATTATGATAAATCAAACACAAGTATTTTTATAACTAAAAATTAAATTTAAACTTTATTTAAATGAATAATAATTGTAGCGCGCTTCCACTCCGCAGCACCTGGGTTCAAACCCTGGTCAAAGCAACATCGCAAAAAATATAGAAAAAAGGTTTTTTCTTAACAGCGGTCGTCCCTCGGCAGGCAATGGCAAACCTCCGAGTGTATTTCTGCCATGAAAAACAGCTTCTCATAAAAATACAATCGCCGTTCGGAGTCGGCGTAAAACTGTAGGTCCCTCCGCTTTGTGTGACAACATCAAGGCGCACGCCACAAATCGGAGGAGAAGCTCGGCCAAACACTAACATATGTGTAAGCGCCAATCTATTATTATTATTATTATTATTAATTGTAGCACACTATGTTTCTGTGTCAAGAGAAAAAACGAGAGAGAGAATAAGAAATCTCTGCTGTCAGAAGCCAGGGTTATGTGCTACTCCGTACTTAGTAGATACAGCGTTGCATTTTCCTTGCACTGCATGGGGTACGGACTTAGTTCTGAGTGCCACATTACTCCCCCTCCTGTTGAAAACGAAAGCGAATTTTACGGCCTGAACGCGTGTGGTATTCCGGCTGCTTGGTATGCGATGGAGTGCTTTCTTGGTCTTCGTTAACGACGTACGCAGCCTCTAAACGGTCGATACTAACGTTCACCTGCTTCCCGCGAATGTCGACTTTGTAATATTTTTCACATCTTTTTAGAACGGGATATGGCCCTTCGTAAGGGGCCTGGAGTGGTCGGCGTACGCTGTCTGTTCTAACGAACACGTAGGGCGTCGTTGCCAATCGAGTCTCGATAAAAGTGGATGGCTTCGAGTGGTTGGCGGTGTGAGTCGGCGTTAGCTTGCGCATTCTTGCTCGCAGGTCATTTACAAAATCGGCTTCTGCGAGAGTAGCGTTGGCGTTAGACGTGTGGTGGAGAAATTCACCGGGCAATCGAAGTGTCCCACCGTAGACTAGTTCTGCTGGCGTTGACTTTATGTCTTCTTTGTAAGACGAGCGGTAGCCCAGAAGAATTAATGGCAATACTTCGACCCATTTTTCTGTTTGGTAACACTTAATCGCAGTTTTCAGCGTTCCGTGGCAGCGCTCTATAATACCGTTTGCGGCGGGGTGGTACGCCGTTGTTTTGAGGTGCTGAATACCCAGAAGTCGGTTGAGATCACGAAAAAGCGACGATTCGAATTGGCACCCTTGATCGGTGGTGACTCTCAATGGTATGCCAAATCTGCATATCTATTTCGAGTAAAAAGCGTAGGCGACTGACTCTGCGGTAACATTTTCGAGAGGGTATGCTTCTACCCATCGCGTGTAACGGTCAATGCAAATGAGGCAGTACCGATAACTTTGACATGGCGGCAAGGGGCCTACTATGTCCATGTTGACGTGCTCGAACCGCTTATCCGCCAGCTGGTATGTAGATATCGGCGATTTGTTGTGGCGTTGAATTTTAGCTTTTTGGCAGGACAGACACCTGTTGGTCCACCCACGACAGTCTTTTCTCATATTTGGCCACACAAATTTTTCTGCTACCAGCTTTATGGTTTTGGCCGCACCGCTGTGACAGATGTTGTGGATTGATTCAAATCCGATTTTACGAAAAGGCTCTGTGAGGTAAGGACGTGCGTTACCAGTACTTACGTCACAATATATTTTAGCCTCCGTACCTGGCACGACGAACGCTTTTAAATCTAAGCTGCAATTATTGCTGTTTACCCGCTGAAGCTCGTCGTCTGTAATGTGACTTTCAGCCAAACTCGCGTAGTTAATTGTTTGCGGAACGTGAATCGCTTCGACGCGCGACAGTGCGTCTGCTATGACATTGTCCTTGCCGGGAAGGTAGCGGATATCGGAAGTGAATTGGCTCAAAAAATTAAGATGCCTTATTTGCTTAGGCGAAGCTTTCTCCATTTTTTGGTGAAAAGCGAATTGGAGCCGCTTATGGTCCGTGTATATGGAAAATTTTTGTCCCTCGACCATATCTTGGAAGTACTTTACCGCTTTATACGCACCTAAAAGCTCGCGGTCGTACGTGCTGTAGCGCTGTTGTGCGGCATTGAGTCGTTCCGAGTAGAAACTGAGAGGTTGCCATTGGTTGCCGTCAAGTTGCTGTAGCACGGCCCCGAGTGCCGTTCCGGAAGCATCGACGGTGAGTGCTAAGGGTGCGCCAGGCTTAGGAAATACTAAAAGGGTGGCTGCGGCTAGCTCTGCTTTGCAACGCTGAAAAGCTTCGTTGGCTTTCGCATTCCATTCTATTTTTGAGGTGTCGCGTTTTTTATTCCCTTTAATGAGGCTAGTCAAAACGCTTTGGCTCTCCGCTGCTTTTGGTAGAAACCGACGGAAAAAATTCAACATACCCAAAAAACGTCTAAGGTCGCACACTCGTTCTGGTGCTTTCATTTCTTTAATGACCTTCACCTTGTTTGCTGGTGATTTTAGACCGTCCGGAGTGACCACGTATCCAAGGAATGTCACTTCCGGCTTTCCGAAGACGCATTTAGAGAGGTTTATTACGATGCCAAATTCGCGCAATTTTTGGAAAACCGTGCGCAAGTGTCGTCTATACTCGTCCGTATCTCTCGAGGAAACCAAAATATCGTCAAGATAAGGACACGCAAAATCGAAATCGCGCAGAATGTCGTCCATAAAACGTTGAAACGTTTGGCCGGCGTTGTGTAAGCACATGTAAACGAACTCGAACATTCCGAATGGAGTCGTCATAGCGGTTTTCGGTACATCAGCGGTTTCCACTGAAAGTTGATGATATGCACGGCGCAAGTCGATCGTGGAAAAAATTTTGCAACCGTGCAGTGCGTGTGTAAAATCGTGGAGATGGGGGATCGGATAGCGGTCGGATTCGGTTACGCTGTTTAACCGCCTGAAATCCCCACAGGGTCTCCACTCGACGTTTTTTTCCGCACCATGTGAAGAGGGGACGCCCACGGACTTCGTGAGGGGCGACAAATTCCTGCGTCGAGAAGCGACTGAATTTCAGCTTTTGCGACTTTCAGTTTGTCTGGCGCCAAGCGCCCCGGCTTCGAAAAAACGGGAGGACCCTTCGTGATGATGTGATGCGTGACACCATGGGCGACATTTCTCCGACCCTGGTTTTGCTGTGTTATGTCTTTAAATTCCCAGAGCAAATCCTGAAAAGGCATATCACGATTAATAAATGACAATTTACCTACGTCACCGTTGACTTTTTTGATAGCGCAGCATTGCGAAGCATTTTTCAAACTATCCACCAGCTTGCGTTGATGCAGGTCGACCAGAACCTTGATGTGCGCCAGGAAATCGGCCCCTAGCATAGGTTGCGAAACGTCCGCAACAATAAAGTTCCAGTTTTCGGCGAAGACCGATGTTGAGGCAGAGGGATTTCTCGCCGTACGTTTTTATAGTTGGCTTGTTGGCAGCGTATAGCTGTAAATCTGCATCTGGCTGTCGTCGTTGTGCTGGCATAGGTGGAATGACGCTAACTTCTGCGCCAGTATCCACTAAAAATTGTAGGTTGCTGTTTCGATCCACGATGAGAAGTCGACGGTTGGTCGCGGGAGGCCTGTCACGTACCGTCTTTGGTGACAGGGCTCTTAGTTTAAAGCTTTAGATCCTGGCTTTCGGCACTTTGTTGCTTTTTCTACGAATCTCCTGTGGTACCAGCAAATGTCCGCGCCACTGCTTGGTGTGCGCGCGAGTCTTCGCGAATCGGATCGTCGCCTCTCTCTACCTCGTTGCTCTAACTTTGATTTTAACTCTGCAACCTCTTTCGTCAAAGCACATATTTGTTGCGCCAGAGAAGTTTGATCGCCATGTGCAGAAACAGAGTGCACATGCGGGCCGCCGCTAGCCTCAACTATTTTGTCGTAAAAGTAATGCGACTTTGTCTAAAGGCTCGGTGCTAATCGATATGATAGAGCGAATATTTTGCGGCAATCTGTTAAGCCAAATAGATTTGAGCATACCGTCGTTCATTTCGCTACCAGCCAGATGGCGCATTTCGCGCAGCAGGTGTTATGGGCGCATGTCTCCAAGCTCTAAATCCTGCAGTAGTTTTTTGATTCTTTTTTGCTCGGAATCGGCAAACTGCTCTAACAAGCGCATCTTTAGGGTTCTATACAAGTCCTCAACTGGCGGATTAAGTATAATGTCGCTAATTTGTGCGAGGACGCTGCTTTCGATGGCGGCTACTACGGTGTGGTACTTAGACCTGTCGCTCGAAATGCCAGCGGCAATAAATTGCGACTCTACCTGCGCAATATACAGCTCAGGTTTTGCATGCCAAATTGGTGGAATTTTCACGGTCACCTTTGCGATTTCGGTAACGCCTTCGCTTGCACGTGGATCTTCAACAGGTTGCTGCACAGCGGCTTGCATCACGGAATCCTTTGACCCTTCTTCGTTAGGCATTGTGCTTTAAGAGTCGTCGGGGCGATTATGATAAATCAAACAGACGTATTTTTATGAAAAATTAAATTTAAACTTTATTTTTATTTATTATATTTTAAGAGAAAAAACGAGAGAGAGAATAAGAAATATATGCTGTCAGAAGCCAGGGTTATGTGTAACTCCGTACTTAGTAGATACAGCGTTGCATTTTCCTTGCACTGCATGGGGTACGGACTTAGTTCTGAGTGCGAAATACAGCACTCCTCTTTTCTTTCGAATGGAACAGAATACGATTTTGTACGGCCCCAACATGAGTTTCTTTTTTTGTAAACGTAACAGAGCGTTTGTAATGTGATAAATGTAAAAGTGGATTATGTGCTCGCTCACAACCATCCACACCACATTGCTGCTTAGAGCTACAACGGCGAATCAAGTGTTTGGCTGGCTTCCAAAACGTCAATTGCATTGCATACGTACAAAGTTTAATGTTCCATAACGCCGAACTACAAAATGTTAACGATGTATACTTTTCCAACACGCATCGGAAAATTTATCGAAACGCATCGCTAGCGTAATCAACGCATCAGAAACAATGTTGATGCTTCGTTTGTTTTTGGTTACCATTGGTATTTTAAAAATGGAAAATTCAGAAAAATTGTTCATTGCTATATTGAGTATGTAAAATATTCAATGTATATGGTTGCAATGTGTCGTAACTCTGCATATACGAGGAACAGTTTGAATAACGCAGTATAGCAGTTTCCTAACATTGTATTGATACGTTTTGGAAGTCAGCCTTTCTTGAAACAGCGTATGCACAATTTTGCATCTCTAACAAATTTCCAACGCATGACTTTGTTCAATGCACGAAATTGTTCACATACTGTCAAGCAATGCCCTTTTGAACATTTCGGGCAAATATATTTTGCTCGCTCGTTGGCAGCGACGACGTGTACGATTATTCTCGTATGTTGCTTTTTTCGGTCGCTCTTCTTCTCTCGCTTATGTTGGACAGTGTTGCCGTTTTAGCGCTTTGGTGGCTAGATTTAGCTAGCACATAGTTTTTTGACCACACAAATTTAAAATTACCCCTAGCCCTTTTTTAGCCCTTTGGAGAATTTATTCATACTTGGCATGAAAAAGTTGTATATGCTTAATTTGATCTAATTTTGTTCATTTATGTAAGAAAAGAATTTTTAAACTAAAAAGGCTGATATATATACATATATGTATTGTATGTTCCTTACGTTTTTATACATACATATTGTAAAAGTGTTAGGGCTGTTAACTTATCTATTAACGATTTAACTATAGCTTAAAATAGATAAGTTTACGGCCCTTAATATGCTTAATTTGTTAAATGGCCCATCAAGTCGATTGACCGTGTATGTTCTTGGGGTGTGATTGTACCAACTGCTGGTGCGACTTCAAAAACTATTTGAAAATTTTATGATTGTACCGGCATGGTGTCGTAAATGGTGAAATTAGCTCAATTTTCTAAGTAAAAAGTATTTTGGCGGAAATTTCTTGCACTATATGAGTCAAAGCCGTGTTTGTGGAAGATTAAGTTTACGATATTGCAGTTGTGAGTTAAAAAAAAAAGTTTAATAAAATGGTAGAAAAGTTATGAAATTTCGGCTCTAATCATTTCGATCTTTCCTCGACCTCATTTGTAAAGAAATAAATATTGCACCAGCATGGTGGTAAGTTATGCTTCGAGGTACAATCACATGATGTAGCCAGCAAGCTGGTGACGTATATTTCCCCTTTTATACAAAAAGGTTTTCGGTTGGATAAAATATTAGCTTTTTTCTAGAGGTTATTGTTTTTCTATACCATTACTTATTGATAATGTTTGCGTGTATATGTAATTAAAAAATTTTAGCTACCATTTTTAGCCACAACGACTTTTTTAGCTCTTTCTTAGCCATTTTTTCTTTTAAAGAAATTTGACTACCACTAAAAATTATTCGCGGCAACACTGATGTTGGATGGTGTAGCTGCATAACTCAGTGGCTTGATTTGTCTCGCACAAGTAGCTAAATTGAAAAGCCACTCATCAAAAACGGTTATGTCAACACGAGGACGAGTTAGTCTATAGCGGCCACAATCTAGTTTTAAATCACTGGGTAATTTCGTCAGCAGCTCGTTTAGGAGCATGGGATCATTTAAATAATCTCCGAGATCAATTGCCTGCATCGTTTTATTTATTTATTTATTTATTCATTTACAGTCTACAAAGTCAAATGCTTCTTACAGACTAGTTAATTAAAAATAGAAAATATTTGGAGCTTAAATCTATTCAAGCTTGCACTAAAATCGATATCTTTATTATATCTGTTATATAGCCGAATTGATCTACTGATTGGCTCGTAGAATGCATAACTAGTTCTATGAACTGAGTCCACAAGTAACCTATTTCGCCTCAAATCCCGCGGAAGAATATAAAAATTGAATATACTGGCTAATAATGGACAATTAATGTGCTCATTCATGACATTATGTGCAAAAATAAGGGACGAACAAATTCTCTTATTTTAGTGAACACTTTTTGAACCTTTTCGATTTTTGCTGAATGAGTATCGGAGTACGGATTCCAAATGAATGAGCAGTATTCAAGTCTACTTCTTACCAACGAAACATAGAGTGACTTCAAATTCAAAGGATCTTTAAAGTCATCAGAGTGGAAAATGATTTGGCAATAATAAAGTCAACGTGCTTAGAGAAGGAAAGTTTCGAGTCAAAGTAAACACCTAAATCCTTCATCTGAAAGGTGCGGAATAAATCACAGTCATTCAATTTGTAACTAAATTTAATGGTGTTACTTATTCTTGAATATGTTACAATAAAACATTAATTCCCGTTTAAAAACAAGCTATTCATGGTGCAACATTCTGCAAAACAATTTAGATCACGTTGAAGTTTAGCACAGTCCGACAAGTCTCGAACTCTAAGAAATAATTTTACATCATCAGCGAGCATTAAACACTTAGCGAATTTAAATTGATACGGCAAGTAACTTATGAATATATGAAACAAGAGAGGTCCACAATGAGTCCGTTGTGGGATTCCTGACCAGGCATTAACAAGCAAACTTGATTTCGTTGAACCAATTGTAACAAGCTTCCTTCCACGTAAGAAGTAAGTTAAAAACTTTAATGGCCGGTTACTCAATATCTGGTTAACACTAATCTGCGGTTAAACATCGTTATCGACGTCTTCGGCTCCATGCATACAACAGGGAGTCGGTAATGTCGATAACTATGTTTAATCGGAGATAAGTGTTAACCAGACATTGAGAAACCGGCCCTATAAGTGTACCAGTGATACCGTAGGCCTGTAATTTTGTACTAACAATGGGCTCTGTCACACGGTCAGTAATTATCACGATATTTGGATCGCAATCCATATTGATGGATTGATGGATCGCGCACGAATGCTACATGTTCAATATTATCGCGTCAGTATTTGCATAATTTTTATGCTGAAAGCTTATTATGACGAAAGAAAATATTTTTATTTTGTACGTATAATTTACAGATAATGCATTCCACAATTATTTTAAAATTTCCAATGTTATTTAAAATTTGTTTTGGAAGATTTTAAGCCCCGAGGGCGAAGGCAGAGCCGATGTTCGCATTATTAGAGTAAAAGATGTACTGACGAAATGTATGGATCGCGTTTTGAAAGTGCTACACGTTCAATATTTATTGACGGTATTGCGATCCGCGATCCAGATTTCAAAATTTTTAGAAATTTTGCGATATGGATCACGATCCATCAATACTGCATGCTACAACGTCAATAAATATCGCGACACTTGGATCACCTCAATAAATACTGACCGTGTGACAGGGCCCAATGAGTGATTGACTTTGTGAAAGAAGTCTGTGTAAATTACATCAAGCTGAGACCGATTTTCAAAAGCTTGAACTACCTCATTTGTTACTAAAGCTAGATTAGTACACGTTGATCTACCAGGATAAAATCCGTGTTGGCAATTCACAATAGCACTGCTAACTTTTGATGGAGTATGAAATCAAGCATAATTTCCAAGACTCAAGAAAAGATCCACTTTTTAAGCATTTCTGGAAAAGCTGTGCATTAGGGTTAGTTAAGCAGTCGTTACAGTTTTTGAAAAACAAAGGAGAAAATCCTTCAGTATCTACCTTAGAGCTTGAATTCAAATTCGAAATTGCGAGACGAACATCATTTACAGAGATTTCAAAAGAACTAATTGTTGGCAATTCAGTATGAGTAAAGTTGAGAAACGTAGAAGTATTTTGTTTTGTGTAAACCTTCTGAAAAAGTTGAGCGAAAAGGTTGCAATATCTTCCGTATTATCAGATATTAAACCATCATATTCCATGCTAGTAGGAAATCCATTAGTTTGCCTCTTTGAATTTATGAAAACCCAAAATTTAGAAGGATTTGACTTCAAGTCCGATTCCACTTTGAACATACATATATTGCTTAAATAGAAACTTATGGGGAGAGTCGAACTCCTTTCTCAGAAGAATAAATTTCTTCGATCTGCTTCATTATTACTATTTCTAAGCTTTTTATATGCTTTATTTTTAATATTTTTTAAATGGGAAAGCTTTGAATCGAACCACGGAGGTTTTCTATTTATTACGAGTTGCCTAGACGGAACATAATTGGAGATGGCTTGCAGAAACCATTGACGCATAATATCGTAATGATCCTCCAGTCTACCTAAAGACTCCAAAAATGACCAATCAATGTCAGACAAAAATTTATTCATTGCAGAAAAGTCTGCCCGAAAGTAATTATATTCCACTGCGGACTCAAGCGGCTTCTTTTCAAAATTATAAAAGTCAAAATTAACATCTAGAGCCCTGCAAAAATCGTGGGACCATGTAGTCTATTTGTGGTAAATTGGAGTACTTACAAAAGTGTTCTTCTGTTATGCTGTAGCGGACCAACTCGTGTCTCTGCGCCAGCTTATTGTTTGTTATCCGATCACTGCTCGTGTTTTAACGAAATGTGATTGAAGTCGAGCATTTGAAAGCACATTTGCATGTCTGGCTGTAGCTGAACGTGTAGAGATGCTCGCTGTTAGTTCTTAGCTCCCAGCATGTTCGGGTTCGAATGCCGTCAGAGGCAGCATGTAATTTTTAATTTTTGTCTTGGTTTTTATTAATTTCGAAAAAGCATTTGAGAAGTGAAGAACAAAAGCGTGTACAAACGAAAAAATATAACAGCAATGCCATTGTTAATATGTTGGAGTAGTTTTGTGCTACTCTGATGTAATGCAGGGATGGAGTATATGGTCCTGCCCTAGGACATCGCAATGTTAATTGGACCATATTTTTTATATGAATTGTGGTTAATTTTGGAGTACTCCTTGTTCTTTAGGGAGTGCTCTTTACACGCATGCATGGAGTAGTCGCGATTTTTGCAGGGAGCTTTATGATCTAAACTCTTATCTAAAATAGGCGCTGGGCTTTCAAAGCATGATATTTTAAGTTCTGCAATAGCAAAAATCAGGTCTAAAAACCTACCATTATTGTTTGACACCGAGTTACATTGCTTAAAACCGTGCGAAACATTGTCGATATAACAATTCATCTATTTCAGACTTGATATTCGTAGGCAATATGTTATTACTATGCCAAGAAATGCTACTTAAATTAAAATTTCCTAGGAAAATAATCTCATCAGACGGTTAAGCATTGTTAATTACATCTACAAGATTATCTAAATGACTTTGATAAACAGCAATATCACTATTAGGCGGAATATAAGATATTAAAAACAAAATAGTTTTATTGTTAGTAAACTTAACACGTAACACAAATTTGCTCCAGATCACTACCAACACCATTCAGATTAACAGCTTTGCTGCAAAAATCCGTTCTGACTGCAAGTAAAACGCCGCCGCCTCTAACAAGGCCCGTAGTATCTGAACAGCGATCTTTTCGATAAACATAATAGTCGTCCCCGAAAAATTCATTCGAAGAAAAATTTGCATTTAACCAAGTCTCAGTTATAGCTATAACATCGAAATCATATGATAAAACAATGAGATGAAACTGTGAGGATTTCGTACGCATTCCACTCGCATTGTGATAATGTAAAGGATAGTTTGGAGTTGAGGAGTAATTTGGTTTGGCAGATTCATTCACGTTACTGATTCTGCAACTTGGGCGTTTTGAAAAAATTGGAATGGGCGCACCTTAACGTTTACTGGCCAGAACGCAGAGCTTAGCAGTTTATTATAGTCTGATGAAGAGACACCCAGCTTGAAATTAACTCTTACTAATTTCTTCAAAGAGTCGGCAGGAAGGTCTTTTTTAATAAGCTTATAGCAAGAGAAACAATCGATGCATGTTTGCCAACAAAATTTATTATGTCATTTTCGTTGACAGAGGGCTTAAAAGACGACAAATGCAACCATTTGAGCGGTACAACAACATCCAATTCTTTACTGGGATTACTACCAACAACGCTGGCACTCTTTTTTTTTATCTTTCAGTACACCAGCACCAGAAGTTTTGTCGTTAGAAAGTGCATTAGCACTAACGGATGACTCGTTATTATTTCTCTTAGCAGCAGCAGATCGGAGAGCGCTCGTAGTTCCAGTATTACTAGCAACAACAGTGTCAGCAATAGAAGCATTGACGTTAGGAAGTGTATTAGTATTAGCAGATGTTTGCTTTTTATTACTTTTAGCAGTGACGATAGAACCAGAAACAGCATTCGCATACGATAATGGTGTCGTATCAATTACATCAGGAGTAGTAACGTCAATAACACATGAAAAGGCAGACGAAGCGCAAGTACTGTTCTTTTTGGTAGTGAGCATAGTCGAAGATGACATGTTATCTAAAGCTGGCTTCTGCTTATTAGGATGAGCCGCAATTGGTTGTGATTCCACAATAGGCTTTTTGTTATTATAGATGGCACTAACAACATTACAAAGCTCTTTAATCTCAGAGGTGAGCGAGGCAATTGCTTTGTCTTTATTGCGGCTGCTCTGTTTAATAGCAAGCAGTTCGGAATGAGAATTTTTACCTATCTTCATTAGATTCGTTTTAGCTTCATGCAAAGGAGTTATCAGCTGAAGCATTCGGGCATTCTCAGCACGAAGAGTGGTGATCTCTTTGGACAAAGATAACAAGGTTATTTGATGTTTACTGTTCTCATTAGAAGCATCACTCTGCTTTGCAGAGGTAAATGAATTCGGCTTGGGCTTTATTCAAGTCGATTTGATATTATTTGACATATTTGCAGTATTCTCTTCATTATAAATGAAGAGTGAAGGAGGCGAACGTAAAGAGCTCCGACGTATATCAGCGCAGACCTTACAGAAGAAGCTGTTATCTGTATTGAGCATAAATTCAGCATCCGACGGCAAAATACCAACACAATAGGTATGAGAAAGTTCGTTGCACTTCGCGCACTGCACTTTCGACTGGCCGCGATCAACTTTTTGGCCGCAACTACAAGGGATAATATGATTTCTGATTGTATTATTATTTATTATTAGATCATTTATTGAAAGATTTTAGATTGTGTAAAGAGTTACTGTCTCTAAATTGTAGTACACTTGAACCATTGCAAAGTAACCAATATATTAATAGTAACTTTCACTGACACAGTAAGGCGATTACGAAGAGCGCAAGAAAAACACGCCCGCACAACGCGGTTGTTAGATTGATTGATAGCTCCAATGAAAAGTGTATCAAGGTTTCCATTTTTTCGATTTTTACATTTGGCTGCTGTCTCAAATTGCACTGAAGAGATTGATGGATGACATTGGGCCGACCATAAAACATTCGTAGAGTCTCAATCGCATACGACACCGTGCTAGGCAGCATGAGCTTCCCCCGCACTGTTTCTAAAGCAGCACCTTTAAGACATTTTTGTAATCGTATCAGGTTTTTTTGTTCGGTAAATCCGCATCTTTCAGTAGACTGGACTTAATTTGTTATTAATATAGGCCCATCTTCGGGATTTCCGGAAAAAATAGCAAATCTTTGCTCATCACCTGGCGTGACGCGATATTAGAAGAAGAAAGCATAATATCTGCAATCGAAGTTTGCGTATATGGAAAGTAATGCGAAGATAATGGCGGCGCGAAATTGAAAGTGCTGTTGCGTTGTAGGCTTGGAGGACAACCCGTGGTGTTGAATAAATATGCGTGTTGCGCTTGCTGCTTAATAGTAATAGGTCTAATTGCTGGTGGCGCAGCACGTGAAGTTGTCGATATATTTGGTGCGCTAGTTAAAGTGGCTATACTACGCGCGACAATACCACTAAAACGCGGCGCAGCATTTGAAAATATCGATGTGCTCGGCACGTTAACTACACTGGGTATACTATCAGAGAAAGTACCCCTAGAATTTGGCGCAGCATTTGAAAAGAACGAAGTGCTTGGTACCGTAGCTGGGGTGAGCATTGCACTAGAGAAAACGTCACTGGCCTGAGGTGTTACATTTTGATTAGCAGAAAATAATTAGGCATGTTTTGTTGTAATCGCGTAGAAGTAATATTGTTTTGCAGTCCAAAACTAGCAAATCCAGCATTTAAGCTATCTGAAATATTTAAGTTACGAGCACTATTTGCTCTAGCTGCTAATATACTGTTTACTGCAGAAGTGGTTGCAGTAGAATACATTGTAACCTGTGGTCCATCTTCATCCGCCTCATCAATTGCGATGACATCGCGCGTTACACGTGCTTGATTTTGCCGCCTACCTACACGCAAAATTCCCGAGCGTGTACGCAGAGGGGAAATATCAGTTGTTAATATATTACTTTCCCCATTAAGAGAAATGAGCAGCCCAGAAGCCTGGCGTGGAGTGGATGCTACAGTGGGTGCATGTACCTCCGTCAAATGTTCTCCTGTTGGCGTGTGTGCCTCAGTTGTCGCGCGCTCAGCAGAATGTGCTGTGGCGCCTGTCGAAGCGTATGTGCCGGTTGGTGCAGCCACGACGGCGGTATTACCCGAAACAGGTAATGCTTGTGCAACAGGAGCACTTGAGGCAGTTGAATGTGCTGATAACCTACCAGAATTTGAAGCTTGCTCACCTTGATTCTCCATTACCCAATTTCAAATGAGTTTACGTTCGATACTATATTACGTTAGAAATCTGACTTCTAGATTCTTAGATTTTTCGGCTGCAATTTAGTTTGGCATCCCCGGAGTTCCGCATTAAGGTAGCTATGGAACGATAGAGGGAGTTCTCCTGATTGCAAATATATATACTTTTAGCCGCAGGCCTCTAGTTTTTAAGTTATTTGTTGTTAAAGTTTGTAAATTGAACTAACCTCTCGGCGCTATTTCACACAATAAACACTTTATTTATGTACACCCTCCTCAAAATAGTTGCATTAAAACCCCGGCCTGAGATTTCCACTTTAATATACAATTCTTAATTAATTAATTAAGTAAAACGCGTTTATAAATGTCTTCACAAACGTTTGCACATTTCACAAACAAGCAGAAATAACAATGGCTGACAGTAACACAAAATGTATGCTACCATACGTTAAAAAAAT